CTTCTTTCACTTTATGTACTGTCTGCTCTACAAACGTGTATAAAACTATACATACATATATCAATAATTCAACATTTTTTATGCTGAATAATCTCCCATGGTGTAGATAGTCTACATTTTGCTAATCTTTACTCATCACGTAATGCACACTTAGCTGGTTTCTGCCTTTCTGCTGTTACGTGCAATGCTGCTATCAACATCCATATACAAGTTTTGGTGTAGGCATATCTTTTCATTTCTTTAAAGTATATTCCTAAGTGTGTAATTGCTAAATCATAGTGTTACTTTTTTTTTTTTTTCATATTGTTACTTTTAAGTGTTAACTATTTGAGGAGAACTTTCAATTTTCCAAAGTAACTGCATCATTTTATATTCTCATACACTATTGGTAATAATATAATATAATGAAGCTGTAAGTGTTTAAAATGATTGCTTGAAATCTTTTTCATTTGTAAGTATACTGTCCATTATGGTTGTCACTAGATAATATGGTTATTTAAATTCATTAAAGTTAAATTTTTGTTTCTCAGTTCCACTAGCGATTTAGGTGTACAAATGACTAGTTAGTGGTTACCGTGTTGGACAGCACACAGAACATTTTTTACCACTACAGAAAGTTCTTTGGGACAGCACTGATCTATAGAAATAGTGATATTGTGGGTTTATAATAGCATCTGCATTTATAAAAATTCAAAGTGTGTTCTTTCTTACCTATCTGAGATAACATGTACATGGGTTTTAAATGTACATTAGAATGCATCACATCACTCAAGATGTCATTATACACAGTGAACCTAGCCTACGAAAAAGTGACCAGATTCCTTGGTACAACTCTTAATAAATTTCTCTGGAAGAGATATTTAGATGATGAAAGAATGTATTTCCTCTTCCTTAAGTGTTCGCTGGGATTCATTTTAGAATCTGCTTTTTAACCTTTCCATTGCTATGTAGATAGAATTGGTAATCCATTCCTTCAGGTGATAAGGACAGAAACAAGACCAAGGGAAATAAACCTGTTTTTATATTAATCTTTTTTTTTATTAATCTTTCAGACCAGTCACCATCAAAAAGTTTGTTAAAATAAAGGCCAGTCACAATATAGCAGTGATTATCTTTGTAATACTGCATAGAAAGGCTCCATAATTTAAAAATAAAATTTAGCAGGATGAGATTTATTTGTGTTAATCTATATATGCATAAATAAAATGTCACTTGATTCCTAGTAAGGAATTTCTAATATTCATTTGATTTAATATAATTTCTATTGCTATGTTTGGGGCAATGGTGGTGGCACAGATAAATGGACAAATAAA